TTGAAAATGATCGGCTGCAAATTAGACAGGAAACCCTGCATAAATATCTCTGTAAATATGCTACAAAATAGCCGGCTACTGGCTACTGGACAAATCAAGAAAAGCAGTAGTGACCCGGACGGAATAGAGTTAACCTAAGGGCCGGGTGGTCTTGTGCAGGTCAGGGCAGAAATGCCGGTGACAGGAAAGCTTAGGCATAAGCATTTAGTAGAAAGTTGGACAGATGAACTTTAAGGGAGACATGGACGCCCAAGACTTAAAAGAGACTAGTTTTTAGACGGTCTTAAAGCGCTTTTGCGTCTTCTTGGCTCGACGATGAGTCCGGATCTGCATGAATGAAATAACTAGCTCGACGCGCCTCAAAACGCGATAAATGAGATGCTTATCAACAAATTTTTCTTTACCTTTTCATGTGTGTTATGATTTAGCAACTCTTGCGGAAGCGATATTTTGGTTCAAGCACTTGTTTTAAAAGGAGGAACAAATATCATTTGTTTTTAATTTTTCTGATCCGTAAATCGGATTAAGTTTAATCATAAACAAGTGCCATACGTGAAAATTATTTTTTGACGCTCAGTACATTAGAGTTTTGAAAAAGAATGATTTTAAGTGTCCTTGGTTGTTTAAAAGGCACGACCTTTTTTTGCTTTAAATGAGTTTCCTAATGCACAAAAAAACTAACCAATGAAGCCTACACCAAAAAAGAACAGACTATACTTTTTTAAAACCCAATTAGTTTTTTTTAAGAGTATCTGTTGTAACTAGCTAGCAAAAGTGTTTAAACATCCATTTTATGCATTAGGGACGCAGAGTTAGGGTGAAACACCAAGATACTACTCATATGTGGCACTGGAGGTAAACATGTTAAACGATTAAACAACTAGCGGACACAGGATCCCGCTAGAAATACTCATGAGAGGAAAATTAAACTCTGTGATGGCAACAAATTACCTATAAATATAATAAACTCACTAATTTATAGTGCTCTACAAAAGTATTACCTTTATTTAAACGTGCAATTGGTAGAGACTCACTTGAGTTTCATTTTCCATACGCTTGTAGATGAAGTTTGTAAAATGACTAAGTCAAAGTACTTTGCATCCGATATTCTGGGTGCCTCTAACTGAATCGAAGGATATCCATTTTTGTTTGTAAGAAGTGTTAAAAATTCAGTATCTGGGCGCCGCTGAACATATACCGATGGAAGCTTCATGTGCTTGTATATTAGCGAATTGGTAACATCATCTCTTTCAATGATTGCACTTTGAGAACTCAGTGAATTGACGTCGAGGGCGGTAACATTATAGGAAATCGTAAGTTCGCTTTTATTGGGAACGGAAATCTGAGCCTGTCGTCTAAGAAAATCCAAATCAATTTTCGCAGCACACTCGGTTTCCTTTGCACAGTGGATAAGACAGGAAGATGATGAAAAAATATATCCATCATAAGAAGGCATTGACACGTCAAAGTGACAAAGAAGAACAGCATTACTTTTGGCTACCAAGTGAGCATTTTCAACGCTGCAGAGTGTGAAGAGATCGGAAATGTAATTGCCCTGCATTGTAACTAAGTGGTCGCTTAGGAACACAGAAATGCTGGACATATTATAGTCGTGTCGAGATTCTACACCACCTATATTTGCTTCGATAAAGCCCGATTTAGTAGGTTGTATGAAAAATATGGATCTTGTTTCACTAGATGGTTCAACATATTTCTCAAAACCAAGATCACTCGGTTGTGTCAAAATGCCAAACTCGATTCCTAAAAAAATATTTGCTTTACTTTGAAAGGTACCTTGAACAAATATGGGAAGAGTACATACAATGGTTATTGCAGTAGCTGCAACCAAACACCACGACATTGTAAGATAAAATAGAAAGGTGGAAGAAACAAGGTCGCAATAAATAAATAAATTCGAAAAGTAAAACAATCATTAGGGCGTTTTATGCTTAAGGCACATTTGCCGGCAAAATACTTAATTTTCAAGGTTTTTTCCACAAAAGCTAAAAAGTCAGTTTTTGCCTAGGCCAATGATATAGAAAAATGATCTCGCTCTTCCACAGTGGAGCAAGTTTTCAGGCATCATAATCGACTTTGAGATTGATTGATGGATGTTTCTGAATGCACTTGTAGGTGTCCGTAAACTACCCTGATAATATAGTCAGCTTTCGATCACTGAAGAAAACCAGACATTTGACACTTTGTGCAACTGCGTTTGATCACGTGAACGATCAAATCCCTGTGACAGCCTTTAAGGCCATGATTAAAAGCTCTCAGCCTTCTGCATTTAATCTACCCATGGTCAGTTTTACTACTCTTGCCTATTACGATTTCAGTGAACATCCTGAACTCTGCAAAAGCTGCACGTCCATGAAGATTCTGGAACGTTCTTTTGGCTCGCTAAACGTTTCTGCATGTCTGCATTCGTTTCCACCTTTGCCAGCACTTCGGATTACCGTAATGGCTTTATACCGCCTCCACGCCAATTTTGCCAAGAAATACCCCTCTCGCTGTTTCAAATTTTCAGCCTTCCGAACTACACATCCACACGCCTAGGCTCCATTCCTCCTAGTCTACCGGAAGCAAAGTATTCCTCGTCAGTCCGACCACATCGTTCCACTACGTAGTTCAACGTAGCAAAAAGGGGTCTGGTGTCGACAGCGCAGTCACGACCGCCAGACGACCATGTTGTTCTGTAACCCATAGTCTAGTACGCGCAGAAGCAATAACAACTACGGGCAGATGGTGGTAAGTCTGAGTAAGGAGAATGCCGAAATCTAATAATTTAACACCAAATACAACAGCATAGCGAATAAAATTGTAGAGTGAAAATTCAAATAGGGATAGGAAGAAGTTAAACGCGGTTAAAGGCACAATAGTCATCAATTTGACGAAGAAGTCGATCGACAGCCTGAGAAACGGCCTCGCTTGAATTCCGATTCAGCAGCATGGAAGGCCTCACGTCTAGAGTGAAATCGGGCCCAAATGAAGAAAGATTCGAGTGGTCTGGAATGTCTTGTTCGAGAAAAATCCTAAGGAGCGAAATTACGAAATTATTTATAAGGATTAAGAAAGCGGCCTCTGCTGAGCAAATAGTCCCACTCACTCTTCACCGGTTCCACAGGAGATAGCGACGGCTGTCAGTATTAACCAAAGTCGAGCTGTGTCCGCAAGGTGGTACCCACCTCCACCCAATACTAGAGTAGGAAGACCCCAGCTTAGCACCAACTTTAGGGCCGAAACATAGGCGGATTGATTGGAGGTGAGAGAGGCGGATAAATTGAAAATCCGATGTGGATCAGTTGAAAGAGCATCAGCCCCGCATTGGATAAAGACAGCGATAGGTTTTGTGGACTGATGGAGGGATACGAGAACGGGCTCTACTGCGGACCACCACAGGTGGTCGTCAGCTCCTTCGGCTGTGAAATAAAGCACGCATTCCTTAAAACCGATTTCAGATAAGTTACTTTCACAATAAAAATATGCATGTTCAGAATATGCTTGCTATCAAGAAACGAGATGATTAACCCATAATACGACTCCTGCAGGGAAAAGACAAGTTTATGAAGCAAGTGAAAACGACAGAAAAAACCTAAAATTATATGCCTAAGTATGAAAATGCCATCATTTTGCGCCATTTAGATGTTCAATATGAAATTCAAGTTGGAAGAGAACAGTTGAATAGTAAAATTTATAAAAATTTGGTCCATATCTACACAAATGATACCTGTAGATTCGGCTTCAACACCTATTCGTGTGGTAATACTCTAATTCATCGGAGGCATGATATTCTCGCCTGATAATACAAGCTAACAACACAATAGCGTTAAGAATATTGCTGCAGGTACCAATCATCCTGCTAATTTTGCCTAAAAATCATCTGAAAAACAGAAAATCAGAAAAGCAGTAAATCAAATTAGCGATTAACTAAGCACATCGTTAAGTGGAGATCGAAGTCGTACCCAAAGGTAGATTGAAACACGAAAATTGACCACCACGTGCTCCCCTAAAGTAGTCGCCAGTGATTACATCAGGCACTCCTGAGCCAGGAAAAAATCCACGGGTACCGTGATGAACGGAAAATGTGACAACGCGCGAGGTGTATGCGAAAGCCTCCTCCACACCATCGCCGTGGTGAAGGTCAAGGTCAATGTAGAGCAATGGACCCGAAGAGAATTTGGGTGAGGAGAGGAGACGCTGAGCCCCCAAAACAATGTCATTTAGGTAGCAAAAACCTGAAGCCTCGGAGCGCTTGGCATGATGCCAACCCCCTGCCCAGTTGATCGCGATCTAGGGAATTAAGGCAGAATACAAGGCATGTCACGAACTCCCCCGCAAATATGCTGTTAAAATTATGTCCGGGACCGTTATAAGAACAACCGCTGCAGATTACCTTACATTGGGAATCGACCAAGGAATCGACAGCGGCTAAGGTCCCCCGAACAGCGGAAAGGGCGTAGCCATATACACCTCTGAACCCGTTGCAATCGTAACTGAGGCCAAAGCCATTAAGATGTTCGGATATGTCATCAGGAATGTTTGGCTCGTCATCCAATGTGTAGAAGCTATCCAGGAGCTGCAGAGCCTTTATGTAGTCTTCACTAGTTTTGCGAAAAAATTATTATACTTTTGCAATAAATGAAATCGATATTTCATGTATGAAATTTACAAAAGGCTGAATCACTAGTAAGAATGAACTCCTCAAGGGAAAAAAACTGACTAGATCCAAAGTCTTAGGAATTCAAAGATTGTAGACAAAAGTTGGATATAGCAACCAAGTCCTCAGAATGGCACTGCCATGTACCTGCATTAGAGTACAACTTAACTAAAGTAAAGTACTCCCCTTAAGGAAAATCAACAACAGATATGCTCTTACGGAAGTAGCAGGTAGAAGAAGAGCATACCTATGAAATTGTGTCAAAAGCTCCATTTCTTTTGAAGGGCACCATTCCAGTGGCGGAATCTTCAGAAGCTTTTTCGCCAAGCCATATGCAAATGTTAGACCCATAACAAGAGAGAAGCGATTTTCATATTTTGGAGACAGACCGGAAAGACGGTGGATTTCACTTGAATACACAATACCAACGGGAGAGGGCATCCTGGGAGAGCATTTGACGCCAGAATTACAGGATCGGTTAAGAGCCACCCAAAAAGCAAGCATTATAATAAGCCGTAGCCAATGCCGAAGCAGATATATAGGGTAAAAACAAATAATGTAAAGTAAAAATTCAAAAACCGAGAATTGTAACTGTTAGGATTTTCTGCGTGGTACTAGCACCCTTGCAAGAATACTGCGACTTTATTTGCACCTTGTGAATGGCCAACACAAGGCACAAGTAAGGCAGTAAAAAGTTGGAAAATTTCGGTAAATAACATAAACTTGGCAAAGAAATATCATTAGCAAATCAGTCCGTAAGCAATCGGAAAAAGTCGATGTGGGTATGAAGAATCATCAAGTGAGAGAATAGATAGCAAGCACAAATTATTTGTGGACAATTCTACCCTAGGTTGCGCAGCAAAATAACATTATTCACAAAGCCTGCTTAAAACGCAGCCCACTTGAAAAGGCCGGGGCTGGTTTGGGAAATCGATTCGACTTTGGCAAAAGAGCATCCAGGTTTCCCTAGCTTTAGATTGAATCAGGTTAGTCTTATCTACCATCGTAGTATTTATCAGATCTTGCGGCATGAGTTTAAGCCTGAGAGTGCTGCGTTGGCCAAGCGTGAGTTTTAACTTGGTCGTTAGTTATGCATTGTATTTTTCCTTATAAATGCGTGTTAATGTGCGAATTTTGCAATTTTAACACTTGTTGGTGCTTTGTTGTCAAGATGCAATAATATCAGACCTTGGGATAAAGTATTATTAACAGATATCTTAATTTGCCGCCAATCCAATCGCTTTACAAAAAATGCTACTGGAAATGAACATGAAAAATTATGAGTGTGGCACTAATGGATCAGCCTTTTGATCTCGACTACGTAAATTTAAGCAATTTGTCTCTTAGACGTTTCCTTTGTTTATGGAGCTCAGTGTAATTATCACCCGATTGGTCGACTACAAACTTGATTAGCATTGGACAGCCTAGCGTCCTCCTGACTCGTGTCTCGACCGTCGCCTAATGACTACTACGGAGGATTCTGTGCGGGAACGCATTTCTGTTCTAAATCCTTTACATTTGGTATAAGCTTCGTCTCTACTAATGAGTGTTTTAAGGGCATAACTGATTTTTCCGATGGATGTGGTCTAAAACTTAACGTTCTAGTGGTGTCAGATCAATTTGAGGGGAAGACACTTCTTCAGCGTCACCGGTAAAACCTGTTAAGGACTTAGTTGGTTCTTATAGAATGGTTAATTCACTCTTATCCGAAGAGATGAAGAAGATTCATGCGCTTACCCTCACTACGTTGACTCCAAAGCAGTGGTCTGAGAAACAGTGATATTCTGTTTGCATATTTGTAATGTGTAAATTATTGGGGACTCCAGATCTTCAAAATGTAGTTCTTTTGGTTTATTGCTCAGGTAGTTTCACTTCTTTTGCTTGTGTGTCATAGTCCTCAACTGGAAATGTGTTTCGACAAAAAGATGATGGTTTTAGGGTACGTATAATACCTTTGCTTTTATTTAAAAGAAATGTTGCTAACTCAGTTTAACGCTTGAGAACATGCGAATCTATTGTGGACTTTATGCAGGCCTGTTGGGTGACTTGTAATCATGTATGTACATTTAGGGAAAAGTCAACAATCATTTACAAATGTTTCGTAGAACAATTCTGGGGCACTTGTCACATATAACTCTGAAATCCCTAGTTATGCGACAGTTGCAGTTGGTAAAGGTGGTTTCCTCGTAAGTCACATATCCTCTACCGCAGCACATGTTCTGGCAGTGATTGGATTGTGTTCTTTCTGTGTCATTGGTGGAACAGTACCTACAATGGAACCAGGAGCCTTAGAATTCGGTTTCTTCACCCAGCGGATACTTTAGGTCCCTAATAGACTGGTTTTCAGGAGAAAGATGCCTACCTTCCTTTTGTTCCAACGGAGCCAAGACGCGGGTCGGGTTCGCAGAAGTCTGGTGAGTGTTCTGCGAATGCCAATTCACTGTGGTGAATTACTCGAGGCGTGTAGGAGCCGTATTCGTATTCCTTGGTGATCAGAAGGTTTCCGTACTCGACAGAAACATATCGTGCCATCTGGAAGATTTAAGTAATCAGATTTAGCCCAGTTTCCCTGGTTGTCCCCTTGGTTATTTCAATGTAAGTAGGTTTTCGATGAGAAAGTATCTGCTCCAGTTTTAATATGGTAAGCACTTTATCCCCTAGTAATCTCAGGGTCTGTTAGATCTACAAGCGTGGGTGACAGTTATGCGGAAGGTTGCTTGGGCAAAAATCTCCAATTTGTGCCTCACCATGTAGCGCTGAAGGATTATGTCCTGTAGTTGCGCTGAGTCCACTCGTAGTAGTTGACGGAAGCAAATTTTGTGAGCACAACTGCCGCTCACACCTTGACACTTGCATCTTATCTTCTGTGAGCCTTCAATTATCTGAATGGGAAAGATGTGAATCCACAATAGTGTGACAATCTGAATTGCAGATGCGTTGGCTAAAAATCTGGTGTCTTCTGGCTGGTTTTGACAAAAGATAAAGATACAATTTTTTCACATGGATATGCGTTTAAACGTTTGAAGGGAGCATCGGACACTCAATTAGAGATCTGCTAACGGCTACTCATTTCACAAGTAGTAGCACCTGTGCAAAGAGTGGGGAAAGTGGCTAGATTTTGTTTAACTGCTTGTAATCAAGGTAGACAATATGACAATTATAAGCTTTCATGACTGACTTTGATCCCAGCCATGTAGTTGTGAAGATTGACGATCTTCCTCTTTCTCTTCCTCGAGTTTTGCTTTTGCGGCGCTTTTATCGTCTGTCTGGGCACTCGACCATAGCGACCATAGACATCCATCACGTATCTACTTCGTCTTCTCTGTGGTCTATTCTCTGAGGGGAGGCCGAGAAAGGCCTGTGTATACGTCTTCGCGGTCTCGACGTTGTCGGAGCAACCACCCCAGTGGTATTGCACCGGCACGTCCTGCGGTTGGTTGGCATCACTCGGACCGGGGTCATCGATTTCCTGGGGTTGTGGAGGCACGTTCCATTTGTCAATTCGGCCACATTCGCAGTCCATTATTTTATTCTCCGCACACCGACGAGCTATCTCAAACACGAGTGCAGCGCTGGCTAGTGCGTGCATTGCTGCTTTCTCTCGGGTCGCTGATAAAAAATAAGTAGCGGGCTCCACAGTCTAAGTAAAAACTAGCTACTTTGAAAGTAAATGGTATCAAAATGTTTAAAATCTGTATTTTGCCGAATGTTGTAAGTGTGGGGGAAGGAATGTGCTAGAAGACTGGTTCGTCTGTCTTTCTAAGAGGTATAAAATGGCACTGGTAAAATGTTGGGATCTGATGCATTGGAATGAGACTGCTGAAATTTCCTTGATTAAAACGTGCTAGTCTGTGGTTAACGGTGTGTTGGTTTCATGTGTATGTGCCAAAAGACCTGTTTTCGTTTAAATTATTTACGATCAAGTCAAGTCTAGCGTTTTACGACCCTATTGAAAGGAGAGAAATCAGCATCGCCATCATCGATATAAATAGACGCTCTGGCCACTACTTATTTAAGATCAAACCACAATGTGTACAATCACAAATAACATGGCTATTGACCTTATGACGACCGTTTACTTTCGGTAGAGCTTACTTCTTGCTATATCGGGTGTTACTTTGGGGAGGTATTCCACCGAGGAGCAATTCCAGCGTCGATCTTTGAATATGTGCGGGCAGTAGTAGGTCACCGCTTGAGCCGACTTGAGAACCGCGTGCATGGCAAAGCTGCCCTCGGGATGATGGCAAAATTTCAGCTGTTTCCGCCCCAGTCCATAGCGATACTTGGCGTAGACACACTCGTTTGGTGTGAAGCGCTCCTTCTCCAGGGCTTTAGTCCGTGGATATCGGTGAAGGCCACTACAATATTCAGTTTCACTTGCTCAAGCACCGTTGCGATAGAGCACCCTCGAGGTGTACTTGGAAGGAGATGCGATGCAGAAAAGATCACTAGAACTCACATGGAGCAAATGAACTCTCGTACCTTTGAAATTGCTAAAAGATGAGTCTGGCTTCGCCAATACTTTTGTCCTAGTTTAAATTCTGACCGTTCAATGGGTGTTGAGATCTCTGAACTCCAGACATTTAAGACGATGTGAATTAGACGTGGGATTTGACACGTAATCAACGTCGTAACTAGGTGATGTCGATGTCTGGCGGCGTCATTTTATGACAGTCTAGGTCAGATTAGTGATTAATCAGAAGGATCTTTTCCAAAAAAAATTTTCATATCTTGTAGCGGCAATGTCATGCCAAGGCTTCCTGCGCTCACAACTTCTATTTCCATATCCGAATGGGTAAAGTCGGTAAATCATGTCGAAATGAGAGATCTACTGAGTTTCTCTTGTCCGTGGGAGTGAAGAAAAGTCATGATTTCACTGTATGGTTTTCCTAGCTCGACCAAGAGGCGATTGCTGAGTTGTTGTGATGGTAAATAGGCGTTCAGCATTGCAAAGATATTTTAATTTTTTCTAGATCCCAAAGTGGAAGGAGGAGGAAAAAGACCTGACACGTGCATCCTGTACTGACCTCCACATGGTTCCCCTACCCGTTTGTACCTACACCAATGCCAATCTCCAAATCCATGTGTCCAAGCCATAAGAAATGTGGAACACATTCAAGCGAGAGCTTGAATGAAGACGACCAGGCCGACGCAGTAAAAGAACTTTTATTGTTGTTTAATGGCTACAGCAACCACCTGTAGGGGACTTTAGTGCTCCTCTAACAGCATTAACGGCTCCGAGGCAAACACACACAGGGAGGAAACAGCAACTAAGACCTTCCCAATGGCTGATGTGGAAAACACACAGCTTGGACCACCTCTCTCCCTCCCTCTTGGCCTAATAGCATGTTGAGGCGGTGTCTACTTCAACAAGGGACGAAATGCGATTTGGTAGCCAGGACACCGCTTAAAGCTCGGCTTTTTGACTTTTGCCGGGCGGCTTGGCCATGCCAGTAGCAGCCCAGGCCTTGTGAATGTCGGTAATGCGTATTCTGTCAAAGTATTATGCCCACTTTCATCTTCAAGGAAGTCTTGGGATCCTACAGTAGCAGTGAGCTTCAAAACGAGTCAATTTCCTGCTATCGGTTAGTGCATCCACGACACAACCTTCATATTTCTTTACGTATTCTCAATTTAGATGGCAAATTAATTTATTTGAGAATAAAAACGGAAAAGTTTGAAAGCATGAATTTCCGGTCAAAATTTTGGTGATTGTTTCGGGTATAGAGGAGGTAATTTTAACTGTAAAGAACTCCTGTATTCATGGTAAAGGCAATGGTTTTGGTCAGCACGACAAAAATGTCGAACAATCTGTAAGCCAAATTACACTTTCCTGTCTCATTTTTTTTAAAAAAAAAGAAAAAAAATGTTCTTTTTAAAATTGGCTTCATTATAGAGCTACCGAAAGAGGCCCACTTACAGCCAGGTGATGCTTCGGGTAAAGTCCACTGTAAGAATGACGAGGAGAAGTAGGAGATCAGTCCAACTGCAGCGAGGCATCAGCATGGTGACCAAATTTTTTTTATTGTGTCGGTCAATGTTTGCGTGTGAGGCACCTCACAGATAACTGTTGAGACGGCCAGCCGGGCGCCGATTGAATGTCAGGCACCCGACCAATCGGGTGGAAGCTTCCCTCACCCACACCTTTCGAAGGGCCACCACCACCGCAGCGGCAGCCGCCGCCCCTCACCCCCACCTCCACCTGTACCATAGCCACACACACACTCATGCACACACACATGCGTGCACACACACACAGAGGCGTTATCAGCCATAAAATTTGTGCCGAGGTCAGGTAAAAGGTGCCTTCATTAAACTGACCAAGGGATTTTCATTAGCAACTTTCACTGGGATGTGACTGACTGACAGAGACTTGCAACGCCCTAATTTCAGGTGGTGGTAAAAAGTTCACCTTTTAGGATTTAATCAGCATGATAAAGCTAAAATGGACGAAGATGTTTCAAAAAAAAATGCCAAATCTTGCTCCAATCTAGGGAGAGAAATAACTAGTAGAGATTTGAAGCACTGTAGCGTTCCGAGACCTTCCTGATGGCGAAAGAAGACATAGCGCTTGGGCAGAATGTTTATTGTCAACATAGAGAAGGGCTGTGGGGCTAGTGGTATAGGTCGGAGGTCCGGCAGCCTAGCGAAGGTCCCCTCATAGTGCCAGACTCTCCGCTTGGTCACTCGACCGCGTCAGCCACCCCAACGTAATCAGTGATACTAGAAAAGCACCCATTAAATAACCGCACCAGCCATCGAATTCCCATGCAATTGAGGAGATACTTGTCCACGAGGTCACCGATCCCTCCCTGCAATTCTACTGGACCTAAAATTTTGTCCTTAATGGACGCTGAATCTGGGGCGTGAGGGTGGGGGAGAGGTGCCGGATAGTCGCCAAAACTAGCCATCATTTTAAGCCCCTCTGACAGGAGTTGTCATATATTCTCTTATCTGTAGCCTATGCACTTCTTCTGTTATGCCAAGGTTTGTGACCCACCGGTAGAAATCAGTTTATTTGTTCTTCAAGATCATATCCGCTTTCCGCTGCTACGAATGCAGAGCGTCAAGACTTCCCTGAAGGTACGGCAAACGTCCAATAGAAGAAAGTCTAAGTGGCCCTGTTACCATAACCGCGAGTTTAACAAACAATTAAGGTGTTGTATTTCTTTATATTGTGGCAGACGACTACCACAAATTCCGTGCCCCTCATACCAATGGAATCTGGGAGTCTTCAGCGTGCGTCCATGTTTATGGGGGAAGCCACCTCCAGGGTTTGTGTACCTTAATAGCGTCTCTATCGTGGGTAGTGGGTAAAATGCAGCAAAATTGAAAGCTTTCAAGCAACATGTTGATGGCTCTTATAGCGAAGGTCATGCCCAAATGCAATTTCCGCAAAATGCAATGTTTTTGTTTGAGATTTTCCCCCGGGGTACTGCGTTAGTTCTAGGTAGGACAAACGACTGTCTGACTGCTGACCATCCTATTAATCTCATTTTTTGGTCAGAATCAGTCACATTTTAATGCCTTATCACTTGTGATTTGTCGATCTGATGCTGTTTGCCTGCTTTTTAACTAGTTGGGTAATTAATCATTGACAGGAAGAGTGCACAATAAGCCGTCAAGTGATGAACCACTTGAAGATAGGGTTTTATGAGGCCCTAATGTTCCGCCCTGGATCGGGATATAAATTCCCCGATATTTTGCAAGATGAGTCCATAAAAGTCACTGCTGGAGCATTATTTGCCAAAAGAATACCCTCGTCTGGATTGGAATTGGTTTGCAATGCAGAATCAAACGACTGGTTGTCATCCGAGGTCTTAACATGGAGATGTTGAAGGCGAGGCTTTTTGAGCAATAACTTTTTGTAATACTTAAAAAGAACTGAAAACTGGATCACTACTTTCTAAACAGGCGATAGTTTTTTATTTGACCACTCCTGTCACACATTATTCATTTCCGAACCAATCACTCAACCAATCAAAGTTCCGCAGAAAACAATATCAGATCGGACATTTTTCTAAAAAGTATTTCTTATCTGGATTACTTTGGATTCTACACTACCTCGCACTGATTTTACCTTAACAAATAATGAAATTGAGATTGTCTACATGTCCCGCACCCAATCACCTGTCAAAAGTAAATGCCATTATCTCGGTCCCCTAACGGACCCCAGGGGAAAATCGACAACTGCATTTCAAACTTCTTATGGTTCTAAAATAGCGTTAGACGTCAGTAAAACTTTTTTTCAGCCTAAGAATAGGAGCAAAAAAACCTTCTTAAACACCTAAGGTCTCTTCGCAGCAATTTGTACAGCCTAGGTGTTGATTTCTAGATCTTATGCATCAAGGAAGGTTCATGATTTTGTGAGGATGCTCAATGCGTCAGCTGGCTAAGGCTACTATCCCTACTTTCACTTGAGGAGAGGCATTCCTGATGAAGGCGGGTTACTCTATTTGCTCGACCCGTCATTTACAAAGGCTGGATACACAGGATCCCTGTGGTTGGCACATCTACTATTAATTATCCTCATCCATCACCCTCTCGAGAGCGTCATGACATTATTCTCCTCTTAACGATTGCAACATTCGTCAACATTATTCAGGATTTTGTGAGGAAACTTAATGCGTCCAGTAATACTAGGTCATAGAGGCTATTTTCCGTAATGCTGCCTGAGGAGAGCATTCTTTATGAAGCCCGGATGCTCCAGCTATTTTTAATTACGAATAACTGCTATTGGTATACCTACCTTTAATTTGGCACTCTCGTGAAAAGAGTGACCAAGGGGCCGCCTCCTGTTGGACTGGCTAGGTATCCTACTAATCTGGAATGGTACTAATTCTTCCTAATTTTGAAGTCCCCGGCTAATTCAAGATAATCATCTTTAATCTCTTTTTGTGCATAGGTGTGTGACATGTGGGTGCAGGTACATGTGACGCTGGCATCCAACGTGGTGATCCAAAATTGGAGCAGCGAGCGGTTACCCGTGTCACTCATACACACACCCCGGGGCAGATTACACTGGAGTATTTTAAGACCTCATCGAAACTGGCTTGTTTTAAAAAGCTTAAGGGCTACATAAAAGATGTTTTTTACAAACCTGTCCAACATTTGGAAATGACATTCACTGAAGCCGTGCAGCCCCAGTCGTGCATTTTGATGAGCCATTGTTAGCACATGGACAGGGTTTGCGACGTCAGTGATTTCTCCTTCTCCTCCTTCTTTTTTGCTCTCTCTCTCTCTCTCTTTTTCTGAAACAGGTGTTTTACGCACAAATTGGTCCCAAAACGAACCCACTTTTTGGCGCCACGGTGCTTTGAATTCGTTCTCTATTTCACCTGACTTGCGTCACCAGTCCACTGTTCTTGGAGCCTCCTCAAAACTGCAGAGCAGAATATTAAAGACCTGATGACTCTACAATTGGCATTCATTTTAAGGTATTATCTTGTTTATTAAAAAAAGTAGATGCCTCTTTCGCCACTCTGTTGAGCCTTGAAACACCGTCACATCTTTCCACACCACATGCGCGAGGATTCTTCTGCGCATGAGGAATCATTCGAAAAATTATGCCGAGGTTAATGTGTTTGCCCCTCTTCATAATCATTTATTATCTGGCCTGCATAATGGAATGCCCACATAAGTGCCTACTTCAAAATGAACCACCAGAGAGTCATCTCCTTTGAATGTCGAATTTGCCGTATAACTTATGAGCAATAGGACGTTACAAGATCCTGGCAATATACAATTCACGCTTGGCAGTAATTGACTAACTTTAATGGTTTCTAGGTACCGGTACCTTTCTTCTTTCCAGGATAACTTTAATATGGTAGAAATGTCAGGATTAGCCTTAATGCTGCTGAAAACCAGCGAATGCCCTTCTTCAAAGAAGGCCTGCTCAACCCTATTCATCTGTCTCGAAGAGTAGTTGAAAGCTTGGATACTGACCATACATACTTGATGATGATTCAACTCCAACCATAAGGCGTGCCGGTGAGTACTCACGCCCGGGCGGTGGCGGTGGTGATAACGCTGCACAGAGGCTCAAGTTACCTAGGTTACAATGCGTTGAGTCCAATTGGGTTCTAATTTGGGAAATTTTTCCCCTCTTCCACCCCCATAATGAGCCAAAAGAAGGGCTTTAAGGGAGGAGATTTGCCGTCTGTACTTTAAATTGATTTAATTCTTTCCAAATTCTCATGTTTCACATGGTAATGCGGAAATCGGATGCAACAAGAGTAGTGATGACGAAATCGGAAGCGATCTGGTGATAGGACACCTGAAAGATTTACATAAAACATCGTTATCACATCCACTAGAGGCGATGTTTAGCCAAAATCTTCCAAGGTAATAATAGGAGGAAGTAATAATAATATCATCACTAGATTGAACATCCCTTTGTAGTATGCCGAAAGTATTACCTGGCTCGTAGAGTTCGCATATAAATATTGCCTCGGATTGTATTAAAATGCAGCACCATGAGGGGAGGCTACCTTCGGCTAACTTCAAAGCTGACCCATAGACGGGATTGGCAGGTAGCATGGAAAAAAGTGTGTCATGTGAGAGCGGCGACTGCGGTTTCGTGCGTCTATTCATGCCCGTGCCAGTCTTGTGCTGTACTTTCACCTCGACAAACAACCGATTATCCCCTCTGGATCCATTCTACTTGAAGGATATGGTCCATTTCGATTTCCCTGTTGATGGACAAAGATTGAAACGCAGTTGAGAGCAGATAATTTACCACTCATTCGGTTGAGAGGGCTGGAGGAGTAGTAAAGGAGCTTAAAGCATGCCGAGGAGAGGATTGGAAGAACTTCACAGGACAAAAGCAGGAAAGGAGATTCTTAGCTTACTCCTTGAGTGTTTTATTCGCCCTCACTTCTTAGTCATGACCGGTGCCAAGATTTGTGGTCAACTGAACTTCAAAGTGATGGTGCGGCGCAACTTATTTGAGACAAAATGTCAGTGACGATGTAGTGAATTTTCACATGACACTAAACAATACAACGCTGCGCTACACCGCAGCGAGTTTTATTGTCTTGGTAAACATAAAACAGAGAGGGAGTGCGCTAGAGTGAGAGAAATTTTGGCCCATTTTTACCTCGAGTCAGTTTATTGCCAGCTGAGATCATAAAGTGGACTAGTTTATTTTAGTAGAGTCTAGTTAATTTATAAATAAAAGCCCATTGTTTCTGCCCTAATTTTGGGTGAAAGTGGGTTTACAAATTGAGAGATTTCGTGTCCTAAATAACGCAAAATTGTGGCGTAGACGGCTAACGAGCATCCACGTGAATAGTCATAGTATTTACAAGTGTGGAGGTTATGATCCTGTTGCGATAGATCCATGTAGTGGCAGGCTTGTAAGTGAAGGTAACAGCTCACAGGATAAAGAGGCTATTGGCTGCTGCCAAGCAACGTGACTGGTGCCAATCTCTTACTAATCTCTCTCTCTCGTAGGAGAAGTGTGCAACTGTGAGACTAACTACTCATCCACTTGCCAACACGAAGGAGGGAAGTCTGCAACACCATGCCGCATCAAAAAGCCGTGGTGAAGACTACCGACATGCCGGATGATATGCAGCAGTTTGTTGTGGAGGTTGCCTTTGCAGCGATAAAAACGGGCGCGGATAATCAGGGCATCGCCAGTTACGTCAGAGATGCAGTACGCCACGAGTATCCGGGCAACTGGCATTGTATAGTAGGCACCAACTTTGGCAGGTAAGTGCTAAGATTATTCAAAGCTTACTGCTCAATTACATTTACCTACAGCATTTGATAGGCCGTAAAATTTGTTTATTTCCCCCACCTTTGCATAGGTAGGGATTTCAGAGCCTTGCAAATGTGGAGAAGTTAATTAAAATGACTTTCAAATTTGGCTTGTTTTGGAAAACGACTACTCTTTATAGTAAATAAGCTAAAACGTTTTTTGCCGCTACTAATAAGCCCTTATGTAAGAGCTGTCAAGAAGACACCACAGGCGATATGTACCAGCATTGAGTTGGCAAGCTCAATGACATGGGATAAATGTGGTAAGTAGATGTACCATAAGAGAATGTTGGGTCGATGTGTGACACCATACATGGGAGCTGGTTATCACCTGGTGTGAACCAAGTTAAAAAGTGCCACCGATAAACACCCGCTGCCAACTACCTGAATGATACCTCAGTATTGTGCAATTCATTCCCACGCACCAAATTTAAAAGTTCTTTTCGTTAAAAGAAACTTATGTAACTAAAATTTGCGTCCATATCCAATGCAGAAGGTCAACAGTAATGAATTTGCTCTTCTGTTTTAGTGAAGTGATACATGGGAAGCGCGGGCTAATATTCTTCAAGCTCGATAAACACGGCATCCTGCTTTTCCGGACGGTATAGAACAGTGTCCCTTCAAAGCTAGTCTATGTCAGTTTTTTTAAAAAAATATAGGTCCCATAAGCGCCCTTACTTTGCTGACTAAGGGAATATTTGCTTAAAAAGTTTCGAATGTGTCTACTGAGGTGGCATTCAGTAGCATTGGAAAGCGGAAAGCGATGCTGTTGTGTACCAGTTCCTCCATTTAGCATAGTTCTCTTAAATAATCTTGTGTAATGTTTGTACAAGCCTGCAATTTTACTCCCTCGCAATTTATGACGACTTTTAAAGCAAACACAAATAAAAATATCTGCTTCATAATAGAAGCACTAACAATTACTCAAGCCAGCAAAAGCGTACTAAACAAACACTACATATTGCCTCCACATATCACTCACTGTCATTTGTCTCCGCTGATTGCACAAAAAGTGCCCGGGTTGAAGCGTATGGAGGTATGCGAACTGAACCAGTCTGAGTCTTTTTATCACCACCTCTGTGATGCCAAAGAAATCATCCCAAATTTTTGAAAGCAAGTAAATGCAGCTTTCAAACATATGTTAAGCAACCACAACATAAGCCGGAAGAGTGTGGCATTCACACTCTTCATCAATCGTCTTTAACAGCTACTGCTGTGGAGGAGACGTCCACAACTTCCTTGTGGTACAATCAATGTGTTGAAAGAACAGGGTGTCTGGATTTACACCATCAAATGAAATGCCAGTAACTACAATTTCAGAAAAGATGCAAACTTTGAAGGATTATCCAAACTTTATTAAAAAGCGCAATTGACTAAGCTAGATAAAAGGAAATAAAATTTATGGCAAACGGAAGTTGCAAGGCATATAATCTGTGAAGTTGCATTTAATGTGCCTAAAAGCAGTATGACACTATTGTACAGGTTGCTGAAACTGGATCTGAATACATACGCAACATCTTGATATTTTCCTTAAATCTGCTCATGGTTGCGAGCCAAATTAAGTTATCGTCGATTTAAACATCCCCCCGGAGACATGGCTTCTGGGCCACGTCGATAGCCTCTCAGTCCATCGGTACGTTAATTAGGACATTCCGCCACACAACTGAGACTTATTTCGATATTCGGGAAAATAAGAAAGTGAAATTTACACCCCACCCTATGTTTTTGGCTACTTACAAAAGGCTCGCTGACAGAGCAATGTAAAAACATCGGTACAGAAGGAGCCGGCACTACTTAAGTGCTTGCCCTTCTCAACATGTAGTCCTTTATGATACTGTAGCGTCCCGAGACTCCCTTAAGACGAAAGAAGACACAATACTCGGGCAGAATATATATTCAGCATGAAGAAGGTGTCTGGGCTATTGGTATGGCCCAAAAGGCC